GCGCCCTGCTCCAGGGGTTGGCATCCTGCAGGTCGGGATTAGCCCCCACGTAGCTCGCGGGGGGCCAGTCGGTGCGCGCAGGTCTCCGACAGCGGTGCTGAGGTCGGTGTCGTGGGTGGCAGCGTGTCCATCGGTGCCATGGCTCTCGGTAGTCTGCTGACCTGCCAGGCTCCGGAATCGCCTCACATAACCCATTAGTAATTTTTAAAACGTCTGCGAGTCACTTGGTAACGAAACACTTCTAAATGGAAACTCTAGTCAGGGCGGTGGCATCTGTCAGGTGACGGGACCATCTTAACCCCACCCCCAACAAAGGTTTGGAAGAGGAAGAGCAAGGGTTTTGCAGAGCTTCCCTGCTCGGGGGAGAGCTTCCCAAAGCCATCAGTCCCAGGGAGCTGTGCTGCAGTTCCTGTTTGACCTTTCCGTTTTGTTCATTGCTTTAGAACCCCCGGGTTGCACCGATGCTCCTCGGACGTCCTGTGGCCCATCAAGTTAGTTCAGCCGTGCTTGATGTGGGGTGTTTCCACGCAGAGGAAGTGAAATTGGTAAGCCTTTAGTTTCTTTCTGTGGAAACTAACTCAAAGCAGAAGCAGAACTTTCTGATTTTGGCTTTGTGGTAAGCACTGGTTGAAAGAGCTGCAGCAAGAACAGAAGTGAAGCTGAACAGGGCTCCCTGCGATTAATCCAAAAAGGAACAGGAGTGCTGGTCTGAGCCGTGTTGAATGCTCCTGTTTTGGTGGGTTGCAGGTTGGTGTCGTCACAGAGCAGCACTGCCCTTCCTGGGTATCCACACCCTTCCTGGGAATGTTGGTAACAGGTGTAAGCAAGCCAGATCCCCTCTCTTTTCATACTAGGCACTTGCCAGCTGGCTCACTCTTCTGGTTAGCAGATTCAGGTACACGTTCAATCCTCCGATCAGATTCAGGAGTGTATTGGTAGGTAGGACAGGCAGATCAAAGCTATCGATGTGCCCTGGATTGAGGGGAGACGCTGCTTACACAGCCTGTGCGCTCGTGTCAGAGCTCCTTCAATTTTGGGTTTAGCATCCATAATGTACTGGCTCTGCCCTGTTCAGAAATGGTCTGTGTTCCATTTTACTTGGGGAGAAGGAGACTGTCCTCAGCGCCTTGCCTGTTTTATTCCAGCCGTCAGTGCTGCACTTCCAGCTTCCTAGAGCTCTGCTGCTCTTCTTCCTGGGCCAACGTTACAAATGGAAAGGCAGTGCACCAAGCGCAGCTCTGGCAACCTTGCTGACTGATGTTTGGTTTTTAGTGACTGTTACGCTGGAGGAAGGTATTCCCTGGACAGTCCTAGAGGCAGAAGCGCTGTATTTCTACAGCTGGTACAGTACAGGCAGTAGCCAAACAAACCTCTTACTCCATATCAGGCCTTTAGCTTTACTGGCATGGTGTCCCCGGGAGAGGGGTAGGACAGGTTGGCACTTGGCCTTTTTCTTGCTACTGCTGGAACCTGCAGTGTTGGGTGGTTGTCACAGTGTGAACTTGCACCTGTGCCCTAGCAAACTGGCCTGCCAACGGCATTGCCAGAAAAGAGCAACAGGGAAGCTGGGTCTCTGTGCCTGGGAAACCCCTTCTGAGCTGTAGAGATCACGCACAGCTCCGCTTGTAAGGTGAGTCAATGTCCTTGGGATGGTGAAAAACTGGTTTGTCAGATGACTTGTATGGATGTTTGGCCTGTACATCTTTTACATCCTTCCCATAGAGCAAGTCAGATAGAAGTTATTATCTAGGGATTGCGCAGTGGATAGGAAGGCCTGGTGACAGGATCCCTGGTGAATTTGGTGTTTCTGTGACAGCCTGAGGACACAGACTGGACAACATGTTTAACTGGTGATAATATGTTTGGAAAAAATAGACAAGCTTTCAGATACAAAGTTTTCACCAAAGGTGGCATAACTGATAATAAACCCTCAACAGTTGTTATCACCTTGCACTTACAGTGGTGAACTGCTGCTTCCATTCTGGACCTGATGGAGGACTTGTGTGCCTGAAAGCTTGTCCAATTCCCAGCTCTAATCTCTCTAATAAGAGAGATTGCCTCCTATATGCAAAACTTGTTCAGAAATGGGGATGAAAATACCATATTCTGTTCTTCCATACGCAACTTCCTGCAGAATCCACGAGTCAAAGAGCTATTTTGTCCTATTTCTGAACCCTGCAGATTGCTTTGGTGCTGCACCTCTCTGTCCTGCTGCGATGAGTGGGAAGTCCTTGCTTTTAAAGGTCATTCTCCTTGGGGATGGTGGAGTTGGGAAAAGTTCCCTCATGAACCGGTACGTCACCAACAAGTTTGACTCGCAGGCTTTCCACACGATTGGCGTGGAGTTCCTAAACCGGGACCTGGAGGTGGATGGACGCTTTGTCACCCTCCAGATTTGGGACACTGCGGGACAGGAGAGATTCAAGAGCCTGCGAACCCCCTTTTACAGGGGAGCAGACTGCTGCCTGCTGACCTTCAGCGTGGATGACCGGCAGAGCTTCGAGAACCTCAGTAACTGGCAGAAGGAGTTTGTCTATTATGCTGACGTGAAGGACCCCGAACACTTCCCGTTTGTCGTCCTGGGCAACAAGATAGACAAACTTGAGAGACAAGTGAGCACAGAGGAGGCCCAGGCCTGGTGCATGGAAAACGGGAACTATCCATATCTGGAGACTAGTGCCAAGGATGACACCAACGTGGCGGTGGCCTTTGAGGAGGCTGTGCGACAGGTGCTGGCGGTAGAGGAGCAGCTAGAGCACTGCATGCTGGGCCACACCATTGACCTGCAATCCAGCTCCAAATCCGGCTCTTCCTGTTGTTAAGAGCGGCTGCTGCTTCGGGAACATCGCTTGAGCTGACGGAATAAGCACGGGCAGCTCTGGGGCACTCTGAGGAGAATGGCCACAAGGACAATAGGTGGTTTGATCACTGGGGAGTTGCAGCCTCACCATCTGAATTCTGCCTGGAGTTCGAGCACGGAGCACGTATCTGCAGGAGGGAGCTGATGAAAGAACATGTGAGCATAGTCCTGCTTCCATCTCTGCCTGTTTTAGCAGGTTTAAAGGACTGGGTTCAAGTCCTTTAAATTCACTAAAGATGGTGGTGATCTGACCTGTGCTAAGAACTGCCTGTGGAACAAAGCCGACTCTACACCCTACAGTCAAAATGACAGTATTAAAAAAAAAAAAAAACACAACAAACTAGACCCGCTAAACTCATGACCTTACTGCCAAAGGAAAGTCTGCTCAGCATACCAAACAAAACCTGCTGTAGAGACTCTAGCCCGTGCGACTGTGAGAATGCCAAATCCTAGCGTGGCTGAGGTGTGTGTCTCTGTTGTCTGGGATAAGTGCATTGTGTCCTGAGACTGAACTGTGCTGGGAGTTGTTAGAGCCCTGATCTGAAGCAACGTACAAAGGAGAGATGGACCTGTGTTTGAATGTGGCAGCATCGCTTCTTCGTAGCTGCCTGTTTCTGGTCTGGTTTTCCTCACTCTAAATTTGTTTTCTGTGAGTGATATTTTGTGGAGGGACTGTCTGCTTCTCGTTTAATACATGTTCCCTTGTCTCTTCTGGAGGTTCAACACCAGGTTGCGCTTCTTATACCTTGAAGTCCCAGATGAAAAACACCCATGTGGACACTCAGGTCGTGTCAGAGGGTTTAGAGTTACTCAGGAGATCTGGAGCGTGAAACTTCAGCTGGTTTCTGTCACCAGTAATCCCCGTGTTCTAGCAGACGGTTGGTAGGTGGATGTGCAGGTGGCTGGGGGAGTCATGCGTGGTCAAGCTGTTAAAGCCGCTCGCTCGGTGCGTGGGGCTGGCGACCGCTGTGCTTCGTTGGCTGGTGGATCGGTGTCTTCAGCTGGGTTAGCACGGATGGATGCTGCAACCCAGAGCCGTTCACTTCGTTACCTCTTGTGTCAGGGGCGGTGGTGTGCAGTTAACTCGTGCCGTAGTCCCGGCCCTTCCTCCCTAACGGGGAATCCAGTACATTTTATCTATAATTCCAATGACAGAGGATGTCTGCTTGGTTAACTGACCTCTGCTTATGGCTCCTGCGTTCAGTCCAGTGGGGAGAGAGGTGCACTGGTCCCACCTCTGTTCACGGTGGCTGAAAAATCATATGGGGGGAGCAGGGAACCTTCTAGAAAAGGGTGATCTCAGCTCCTGCCCCCTGCTAGGTGTTAGTCCCAAGCTGTCTGTGTAGCAAAGAGGCGAGTGCTTGCTGACTGCTGTTTTTACCGTTATAACCTCATGTCCTGCAACTTCCCGTGCGAGCGTTTGTCGGTCCAAACTGATGACTTTGCCCCCAGGCACCTAGGAGCCTGCCGTGGGGAGTGCTTCCCCCAGTAGGTCCGCCAGCTGCTGAATGCGACGAGCATTCCCACTGCATTCCCATTCCCACTGTTCCCACTGCGACGAGCTGTGGGGTGGTAAATGGCGTAGCTCGGCCCCAGCAGCCTCGCTCACGCGGTGTGTTAGAGCAGGCCACTGCCCTTCGTGCTGGCTGGTGGCTGCTGATCCCCATCGCCGGGCAGTCGCTGAGCGTGCCGGGAGCCTCCTCGAAGGGAACTTGGGGTGATGCCGCCCTTCTCCACAGGGCAGCCACCTGCGGAAGGGACTGAAGCTTTAATGTGAAGTGCTTTAGAGGGATGTGGTTTTGAACAGCGCTGAACGCTCCTGTTCACGGGAGTGCTTGCAGCCTCTGGAAAACCGGGTCCCTTGAGGTGTAAGAGAAGGCTCTGCCTCCGTAGGTGCAACAGATTTTTACAGGATATTTGTATTGCTGCTGTTTATTTACCAATATCTGACCTCCCCAGGCCTCTAGCTTCTTCTTCAGTTTAAGACTGCTTGATACTTCCTTCAAGATCCCAGGCCCTGTGACCTGTGCTTCTGATTTACATCTCTGAACAGACACGTTCCCCCCGGAGCAGGTTTGTGCGGGGGCCCTGGGGTGGGACCAGGCTCAGGCCCTTGCGCACTGCCCGGCCTGGTCTCGTGGGGTCTGGGGAGAGGGCAGAGGCTGAACAAGCTGCGGTGTAGGAGGCAGGGGTGCAGCACTCTGTTTGCAGTACCCTCGGTGTATGTTGACGCTGATAGCTGATGCTGAAGAGCCTCATTGTGCCCTGACTGCGCAGACAGCGTGTGTTGCTGGAGGGTGTTACACAGCATCTTTTATTCCTAATGGACATTGGATCATTGACTAAAAAAAATACAAATTTATTAGGCTTCTGTGTCTTAAAAATCTGTTAAAAAGTGTAATATAATTGTTTATTTTAAATGATACGCACAATTTCCAAAGGGGCCAGGATTTTGAACTCTGTTGCAAAGTTCAGTGCCATCCACACCCCCACCCCTCATGTCCCCTCCTGCTGCTGCAATTGTTGCTATTGCTACAGAACTGGAATTGTAAAACCAAGATTCTACCTTTATTTAAGCAAATAAAACATGGATGTATACAAGTGAATTCGGGAAGTGGCTGCCTTCCTGTTTTATCAAAGTTCAGCTGAGCTGCTGTTCTCCTGGAGGGTGTGGAACTGGGTTGGTGGTAGGATCTGGCAGGGAGAAGTCAGTATGGGATCAAAGAGGTTGGTTATTCCCAAATGCACCCAGCTAGGCCAGCAGTTGAAGGAATATACAACTTACCAGCTGAATCCAGTGACCAGTTTTGTCTTTTCAAGCGTGTATCAGAAAACGATTTTGTAACAGACGCTCCACATTGCTTCCCTCTGTCACTACGTTTTAATTTTCAGCCTGGGCTCTCAGCAGCAAGCCGGCTGTTTCCCTTTGGTTTCTTCCTGCCGCCTTGGAACTGGTCCCTCAGACTGCTGAAACAGCAAGCAGCATATGGGGACTGTTCTCTTCCGCTGTCCTGCCAGGTTGGTGGCTTATTTTGGGAGGCTTTCTCTGTGTTTGCGGAGTCTGCGCCTGCTGTTTCTGTTGGCAGAACCTTAGTTTATTTTTCTGTCGTGTCTGCTTGCCTAGCCACGCTTCCAGAGGAAGCTATCCACTTTCCAGAGGTAGGGTTTCAAGTCAAGGAAATCCTGCTTTTTAAACGTGGGCTGGAGTGTCGGAGGGGCCTCCTTCAGCTGTTTCGAAACGCAGCTGAGAGCAGCCAACGTGATCTGCTGGGCGACGGTCTCTGCCGTGGAGGAGCTGCAGGGGTTGGGTGAGGCTGTCGCACGTCAGCAGCCGCCTGTCTAAAAGCATCACCACCGCTGAATTCCCTGATGGGAGGCGTTTGTAACAAACGGTGAGGCAGGAACAATAGCGGGACTGTTGCCTCATTCCCTACCGTGAGCGATAGGGCTCTGGGTTTTGTCGTGGGCTGGGGAGGGGATGGATCCCTGGAGAGTGAAGGGGTGTCTCCAGAGGAAGGCAGTGAGCTGTACTGCGTGGAACAGAGTACCCTGAGTGCTCGCAAAGGAGTGTTGGGGAGTGTCTCTCAGTCCCATTCATCCCTCTCTCCTCTTGAGGATTTTGCTGCTCTGGGCTGGGTAGTGCAGCCCTAAGGCCGTGCAGATGCTTGGTGGGCCGAGGAGATGGATCTTCCCTAGAACCACTGGCTGAGGAGCCCCAGATGGCTGCCCATGCCCTGGGTGTGCTGCGGGTGACCGAGGCTTCTTGCACACTGTGTTTCTCGAGTGCAGCTCCTCCCTAGCTCTGGAAGCTGGCTGCTTCCAGGAGTACAGCTGTAAGGAGGTTTATGGGAAGACAATCTCTGGGGACTGTGTGTTCTTGCATGTGTTTGAAGATGAGCAAAAAAAATACAGAGTGTAAAAATGCCTTTTTAGGAGCCTCTGACCCCCATTCCAGGCTCCGGCTCTTAACAGGGACTTGGTTGCAGCTCTGGCACCAGGGACATGCTCTGCACTGGAGTAAGGAGTGCTCCCCACTCGGCCAAGATGCAGTGGGAGGTGATGGCAGCTCCGACAGCGGTTGCCCAAAGGCCTCAGGTGAGTCAGAGCCATTCGACTGGGGCCTGGGACAGTCTGAAATCGTGGGTTACTTGCTGAGGCGGTGGTTCAGGCAAAAGCAATCTGGGATAGATGGAGATACCCCCTGAGCCAGTGCTTGTCACCACCATGGCTGGTGGAGCAGCCCTTTCCTGGTGGCTTCCAGGGGTCGTTTGGGGACTGGCGCATGTGGCCACATGCAGACGCAGGACTCCTGTCTTCGTGAGCAGCCAAGTACAGCATCCGCCTGTGCTATTGTCAGCCCTTTGCCACTTGCTATTCTCTCCTTCTCCCTGGACATTTCTGCCGCAGAGCCAAACCGTGCACGGAAATGGGGAGAAACCAGCCCGAGAGATGGCAGGTGGGAGCTTCCCAAGCACAGATGGTGGCAGTATCACACCGCGGCCCTGGCAGCAGGGCTGCTCCCTGCTCAAAGCCCTTTCCCTGCCCTCGCTGAAGCCAGGCCAGGGCTGGGAGAGCTGCTGGGGACCAGGCTGGTGTGCACTATCTGCCGAGGGGCAGTGCAGGTGGGGGGATGGAGGACTGAGCCGGGGCAGCCGGGGGGTTCCCCTCTAGCACCGTCCCCTTTCCCTGAGCCATCCTGCTTGGCCATTCCCCAGGGCTGAGCCCACACCAAGAGAGCAGGGCAGAGGGCTGGGGCTGCCTGTAGGGCTCCGCAGGAATTTACTGTGTGCTCAAGGCTTGCAGATTTAGGGCGGCATCGGGATGTGTAGGGTAGCTTCACTTGCCATCCCCTTGCTGGGCTGTGCAGGATTGAGCCCAGTATAAACTGGGCACCGGAGGCAGATGGTCGTTATTTGTTCGGATGCGTGGCCGGTGGGACGGCTTCGTTTGGGGGTCTCCCAGGACACCCTTAGCAGGAGCTGTTGCCGGGAGGGCTTCCCCGGGCAGGGTCCGGGTGGCGAGG